TTTTCAAAATACAACAATCTATAATGATCAATATTTTTATACAGAAACTCAACTTTTTGAACCATCATCAATACCTGCTTGGAACACAAGTATAGGTACACGCATTAGCACACAATAGAATAATTATAATCTTTTCTCTCTTTTTAGCTATCATGACACAAAAAGCATCAGAAATGTTAACACTGCAAGCATTTAAATTGCAACAAAAATATCGCAAGCTCCTTGAGCTAATACAAGATCTATCACAAAATGCTCATGTGGGAATAGTCAAGAACCAGCTAAGGGCTATACTACAATACCACTGCATCTATCAGTTACATGGCTACAAGGAAATTATTGATGGAATCACAAGCATAGATGAAGTATTTGCTTTTCTCATTGAGAATCAATTTGTCGGTTACTTAAATTATCATCTACTCAAAGAGTTCTCAAAAAGCAAAGTTATATGTAGATATGGGTACAAAAAGGCACAAAAGAAAGTACTAAAGTATGAGAAGCACTATCGTAAGTTTATTGAAGAGCCTGCCTTTTACCAACTGATTGAGGTTTTTGATGAGAACCCTCATCTAAACCCAGGCACTGTTGTGGGACTACCGATTGTCATTATTAGTCTTTCACAAAAATGGAAAACCCAAAACAAAAAAGATCTAAATGAATGGATACCATTTCTAAAGCATAACGAGCACCTACTCCAAAGTATCGGCTACAAATGCATACTAATTACTTATGCTATTTTTCCTGTCAATTTGCTCAAAGTTATGAGATTTCTAAGCAATGATGAACACATGAAAAGACTTAAAAATAATGGAATAACAATCGAAACTCCTTCATATACAATGGAAATAGCAGAGAGACTAAGAGAAGCATCAGTAAGAGAGTCAGTAGAGGAGGAAGAAGATACCTCAGATGAAAAGCTGCATCAACAGTTCCTGCTACTTGAAAAAGTAGAAAGGATTCAATTGGAGCAGTTGAGGATTCAACAAGAGCAGTTGAGGGACAAGGCATACTACATTGTACAAATTGCAATAATTAAAGCAACAGAGTACATTAACCTTCATGAAATGAAAAAGTGCTATGAGGAAAAGTTAGAAATTCAAAGTAAGATTATTTCTGGAATTTCTGAACAAAGTAAAGTTTTTGAAGATAACTTGAAGCAGCTTCTTAAAGATGTAGATAGACTCAAGTCAGAAGTACAAATAGCAGAAAGAGTACAGCAACGCTGGAGAAACCCTGAAATAGAACTTAACTCAGACATTAAAAGGAAACTAAAGTCAAAGAAAACCGATCCAAATCGAGACAGTGGTATCAATAGCAATTACGTTACACCAGAATCATCTTTCAGCAGTATACCACAAACATAAGTGACTTCTTCCTTAGTAATTAGTACACTATCAATATGCTGACCCAATCCAATAGTCATGTAGAGTATTATAACTACCATTTTTGTGCTTGTAGCCTTGAGTGATGAATGATAAGGCCCTGTGCAAAAATTTTTATGATCAA